TTGCTTGCTTGGGTGTTCTGATTTTTAAAAAGAGGAATAATTGTATCATTTTACATTTTAACACTCCATGTTCTCCATGTCCCAAGCAAATGGTTGGAATTCTGCACAGAAAACCCAACAGAAATGGAAGGGTTCATTCTTACAGAGATGTAGTTGTGTGCAGGGTACTTTTTGCTCAAAGAGTGATAAAAAGCAAGCTGAATACGCAATGAATAAATGAAAGTGAAGAAAGGTCTTTTGTACTCTTGATTTATCTTTACATTAAATCTTTTTTTTCCCCCAAGAAGCGGATGTAGCATCAGTTACAGCTCTATCTGAATATTCTCACATTTTTGTAGAGGAGCCAAAGAATATACAGTTTATAGAAATCTCCAGAACTGCTTCAGGTGAGATGACAGATAGAGCCACAACTTCCTACCCCGAGCTCCCCCTCTGCCTGACAGCCAAAGCAAGCAACACGAGATGGGGAACAAACCAAAACAAAACAAAGCTGCAGATGGATTCACAGCTGCACTTTGTATCCAGGAAGGTAGAATGTCAAGAAATGCTGGCCAGCCCATGCTGAAACTCCCACAGCATTTAAGGGAAACTCAGTTTCGCTGCGTCAAGTGCAGTCGAGGCTTTCATTCTGTATTATATACAAAAATGCTTATTATAATTGCAAAAAAAAAAAAATCTAAAATAAATTTATTTCTTTAAAATGGCTTCACACTAACAGATTTATATATTGGGAAGAAATTCCTCCCTGTGAGGGTGGGCAGGCCCTGGCTGGGTGCCCAGAGCAGCTGTGGCTGCCCCTGGATCCCTGGAAATGTCCAAGACCAAGCTGGACAGGGCTGGGAGCACCCTGGGACAGTGGAAGGTTCTTTAATCCCTTCCACCTCAGGCCATTCTGTAATCCTGTGACACTGGCCTGCAAAACGTGACTTTTAGGGAACTGGGTTAAATTTTCTTACACAAATATTTATCCAGAGATGGAATCCAAAGCTCCTCTCTCCCTGCTGCGTTGTTCTTTGCCTGTAGCAGTTTTTGGGGTTTTTTCCAGGCCTGAATGTGGAATCTACAAACTTCAGAGTTTATGTTGTACTTAGGACAGAGTTACTCAATTCAGGACAGTTCAGTGCATGCTGCTTCCTAATTTTAGCATGGAATTCTGGTGTAGGTGGGAATATCTTGGTTGACTTCATAATATTTTTGGAACAAATTGTTGAGAAAAGTATGGGATGGCAGTGAGGAATAAGCCCACAGAATCCTTGACCTGCAGCACACATAGGTTGAAGGGTTTTGCTAAACCAAATAACCATTTTAATTTAATCTCCACTAGAAAAATAGGAAAAATGAAATGCTTGCCATATGGTGAAAATATGTTAAGCTTCAAAGAAGTAGGAATCATTAAATACAACTATGAAAAGGGGCTTTTAGGTTTGAATGGTATGCCAGTTTCAATATAATAAAGCATACATATATAATCCTATTAAAGCCTCATTTGAAAAAAAAATTAAAAGATTCCTTTGAATAATGCAAAACCTTAGGTCACATTTTTTCACCTGTATATTTATTTTTATTTTAATCGAGGCTGCCATAGTAGGAGAATTTGGTGAGATTCTCAGTGCACATCCACTGTTTCAATTTTTTACACAGGTAACATCAACATGAACCAGGCTTTGAAGATAAAGAAATGAGAACTGAACCCCTATACTCATAAACAGTGAGCCACTCCATAACCAAAAGGAATATTAAAACCAAAGCTGCACCAAGGACTCCCCTGTCTTTTCCCCAACTGCTCTGTGTAGAAATTGAGGCAATAAAAAGGAAAACCTGAGCCTCCCACTGCCTCTGCAGTTCCACTGTTCTCACAAAGAAAACTGAGAATCCAGATCAAGGAGCCCTGTGAATAATTCTGATATTAATTAATATTAATTTTAATATTAATTAATATTAATTAAAATTAATTTTAATATTATAAATACTGCAAGGGGCTTGCCAAAATACAGTCCCACACACTAAATACCCGCATTCCAGCACTCACAGCCCCCTCCCTGAAATCCCCCTGTAATAAAGGGCAGATGGGCACAGGAGTGCTCATGGAAACCTAAAGGGGAAGGAAAATGGTGTGAGAAGGGTCACAGCTGATGGCAGAGAGGAGCTGCAGCCTCTGCAACCCTTGGAGTGGTTCCTTACAAGGTCCCTTTGAGTGCAGGGCCTTCTTAGAATTGTTTCGGGTTTTTTTTCCCCTCTCATCACTAAATATCACAAGCAATACACTTGCTGTTCTTGATTATTCCTGTTATTTATTCTCATGAGGTGATGCAGGGACACCCCAAACAGAACAAATTGCTGTGATACAGCTGACCAACACACAAAAATATCAGCTCTGTCCCAGGCATTTTGCAGAGTAATTTCTCATTTTCACTGGAAGATCCACCTCCAACTTTCAGGGCTGAAGAGTGTGGCCATTTCCCAAAGCTTCCTCCTCCTTCTGGAGCTTCATCCCATAATAAATATGAGAAATAGACTTCAAGATAAATCAATGTTTCCTTTTTGTTTTTATCTGTTCTGTCAGTAATTCCATCTAAGGCCACATTTCTGACACTGCTTTTCCTCAGGTTTGGGTTTGGGATTATTTAAGAGTTTTGCAGTTTTACCCAGTTTCTAGAAGATTCTCTTTGAGTACATTTGGTACTCTTTAGATCCAAGTGACTGCAGAAGTGCAAAATGTTATCATTTATTTATTTATCACTGCTGTTAAATAACAAGGTTGACAGAAAATCCTGCAGGAAAGAGCATCTGTGCTTCTCTCCCTCAGCACTCACCAAAAAGCTGCACTGTTTGTCCCAGCAGCACAAAAAAATCAAGTTCCTAAAAGTTCAGTCAAAAATTTGGCTTTCCAAAAGGAATTTTTCAAAAGTGTCTCTCAGATATTGATTTGGGTGGTTTACTTCCCACAGGATGTGCAGTTTATTTATATAAGTGCAGTCAGAGAGTTTGTGTGCATGCTGCTGCTTTGGGGATGGATTTTGTTTGGATTTTTTTTTTTTTGTTTTTACCTTTTTGCTGTTGGCTGACACCTGCTTTCATGCACAACAATTTTCTCTGATCCATTTGGAGCTGAGCATTTTTCAGAGGGAAAAATGGTTTTGGCTGTGTAGGATATTCTGCACGTCATTTTAAACAGAGAGGGGAAAGACTGAACATCCACAGGTAATAGAGGTATCTAAAAGATAAACTTAATCAGGAACTATCAGATAAAATGAAATATTAGCTGGGTGTTGCAACCAAACTCCCATGTGATTCATAGCATTCAGTTTTCTTGTTCTAAAAAACCTTTAAAAAAACCCCACAGTGTGCAGGATCATGTTTTACACAGTGCTGAAAAAAGTTCCTTTTTTTTAAATACTGTCCTTTGTGATTAATAACATTAAACTCTATTCATGCAGGAATACTTCACCTCCAATAGCCATAATTGGAAAATCCCTGGAAAAAAATGTCACCATTGTCCTGCATACAGAAATGTCAGCCAGCAGCCCAAATTGCCTGGAATAACAGCTTCCCACAAGGGTTAAAGGAGCTATAAAAAGCTCTGCTCAGACCTTCTGACACCCTATTAATTAGCTCCTTCTGTGGATGTGTTGTATGAACTTTGTAGGGTCATTCAATAAATAAGAATAAAAACTCAAGGCTTGCAGTTTGCCAGCTCGTTGTGATTTACCCACGAGCAAAGCAGAATATCCGTGGAGCCTGTGTTTTGGGGAAGTGCCTGCTCCAGTTCCCATTTTGCTTCACTGGCTGTTTAGGATAAGAAAAGAACACCACGAGTTTCTAGATAAAGTATGTAAACTACTGATCTGTATACACAAAACAATCTCTTAGGGAATAAGCAGATTAGAGGGGGTAAAACTAGCAAAAATTAACATTAGCAGCCAAAAATGAATGGCAATTAGTGGTAAAGACTAAATAAAGCTCAGGAGAAGGAAATGTGCTGACACTCTGGACTACTGCTGATATTTCCCACACACTCCACTGCTGATGGGAAACTCCTGCATTTGCTTATAAATTCACTGTCTATAGCCTAAATAATACAGAGAGCAGCTCTGAAATGCATTGGTTCTATGAGGATCACAGCAGCTAAAAAAGCCCCAAACATGACTCAATTTTAAATTAATTTTACAAAGGCTGTGAATTATTTAATTTTTTTTCTTTTTTTTTCTGAAGAGAATGGTTAATTTCAGAGCTGGTCTCTAAACAAGGAGTCCCCATAACCTCCCAAGTTTCACATGCTGTTAGGAAAGATAATCTCCCCAGCTGGAAGGATGAGCTGCAACTCCAACAAGGAGCAAAACCTGTAACCTTCCTGCAGCTGTGCTGCACAGAGGCAACCAGAAACTGTGGGCAGACACAGATTGTATCTTATTTTTTAATGCAAAACAGAAATAAACTGCAAGCCAAGATGGCCAACCCCAGCTAGGGAATTAGAGGCTGAGTTAGGACTGATTCTCTCTCTTAATGGAGGAAAGAAAAGAATTTTCATTCTCAGGAGCAGTTCCAATTAATGGTAAACTGGGCTTGAAGCTGTTAAAGAATGAGATTTGATGATCAGAATGTAAAATTCCATGAAAATATCTCAGTACTCAGCAGCTAATGAAAAAGATGAAATTGAATGTTGGTA